ACTCTATTTATTAGGATATAAAACTCAATTTCATTTCATTAGGATATAAAACTCCATTCATTTCATTAGTCCAATAAAATACAGAACAGTAGGATATAAAACTCCATTTCATTTCATTAGTCCAATAAGATACAGAACAGTAGGATATAAAACTCTATTTCATTTCATTAGTTCAATAAAATACAGAACAGTAGGATATAAAACTCTATTTCATTTCATTAGTCCAATAAGATACAGAACAGTAGGATATAAAACTCTATTTCATTTCATTAGTTCAATAAGATACAGAACAGTAGGATATAAAACTCTATTTCATTTCATTAGTTCAATATGATACAGAACAGTAGGATATAAAACTCTATTTCATTTCATTAGTTCAATAAAATACAGAACAGTAGGATATAAAACTCTATTTCATTTCATTAGTTCAATAAAATACAGAACAGTAGGATATAAAACTCTATTTCATTTCATTAGTTCAATAAGATACAGAACAGTAGGATATAAAACTCTATTTCATTTCATTAGTTCAATAAGATACAGAACAGTAGGATATAAAACTCTATTTCATTTCATTAGTTCAATAAGATACAGAACAGTAGGATATAAAACTCTATTTCATTTCATTAGTTCAATAAAATACAGAACAGTAGGATATAAAACTTCATTTCATTTCATTTCAACAAAGACTTCTTAAAATTTATAAGTTGAATTCTTCTATTTTCAGATACATTTATGCTTTACAACTGCAGACGATATGAAACTACTAAAAAGTACTAAAGAAAACCAACAGTACTATGGTTGATTTTAACCCTGCGTACTACTATAGATACTAATGGAAACCAACAGTACTATGGTTAATATCAAATTGGATTTGTACACAAACTGACAAGTAAGTAGAGTAACTAAGCTGTGAACATATTTACATATCAGTTTACTGAGTATTGATTTGTGACTGACAGTACCAACTTTCCCCTACATCTAACAAAACTCACTAGCATGTTCTTGGCATGTGGTAAGAATTTTAGTGTTTGTGGTGGAAGACTCTCGAAAGCATTGGTCTAGGAATGAGTACCTACATCTGACAAAACTTGCTAGCATGTTCTTGGCATGTGGTAAGAATTTTAGTGTTTGTGGTTGAAGACTCTCGAAAGCATTGGTCGAGGAATGAGTACCTACATCTGACAAAACTTGCTAGCATATTCTTGGCATGTGGTAAGAACTCTTGAACGAAAATGAAAAAATTACACTTCAACTTTCAGTATAAAAAGTTTTCAATGACCTTAAATTTTTTTTAAATCTATTTTCAATCTGCTCTTGAGAAAAAAGTGGCGAGAAGCAACCTCATTTTCAATACGTTGATTAAAGAAAATCTGTAGATTTCTTTGAAGTTTGAAAAATTGGGAATAAGCAGACGCAGCCAATTAAAATGAAGGTATAAAATGATTGACAGGAACAGACAGTCGTCAGGGTTTCAAGTTGTAACATGTCTATCAGCTTGTAATGATGTGAATTGAACCATTTAAACAGTATTTTACAGTTAAAAATAACTCTTCAGAGACCACCTCCCCGGTTCCCCTACCGTTTTGAGAAGTTCTGGGCTGATATTATGGTCCTATCCTATATAATTTAGAGTTAAAAAGAGGGCTGTCATTAGACCCTAACTGAAGTGGCTAAATTAAAAATAAAAGCTAATCAACAAACGGAACAAATGTTTGGACATTTGAAGCTAATAATGAAAATGAAACTCAAACGAACTCGCTGCACAGGAGAAAAATAAGTCATATTCTTACCTTCAAAGGATTGCAGTTACTCCATTTTTCACTTTTGACGTCTGCTTAGTTATCAGGTAAATCCTGTTCACAGACGTATCGTATATTCCCAGAACTTCAGTCAAGACACTCGCAAATCCCTAAAAAAAAAGAAATTTATAAATCATTAAAATCCATGGCAAATGAATAGCTAGCTCAGTCAGAAGCAAGTTGGATTGTCGTCTGCTTGGACAGTGGAATAACTCAGTCGGTAGCAAGTTGGATTGTCGTCTGCTAGGATAGTGGAATAGCTCAGTCGGTAGTGAGTTGGATTGTCGTCTGCTAGGACAGTGGAATGACTCAGTCGGTAGTGAGTTGGATTGTCGTCTGCTAAGACAATGGAATAGCTCAGTTGGTAGCAAGTTGGATTGTTGTCTGCTAGGACAGTGGAATAACTCAGTCGGTAGCAAGTTGGATTGTCGTCTGCTAAGACAATGGAATAGCTCAGTTGGTAGTGAGTAGGATTGTCGTCTGCTAGGACAGTGGAATGACTCAGTCGGTAGTGAGTTGGATTGTCGTCTGCTAGGACAGTGGAATGACTCAGTCGGTAGTGAGTTGGATTGTCGTCTGCTAAGACAGTGGAATAGCTTGGAATAAATGCAAAAAAAACAGATCTAAAAAATCCAAAGTTTTTTGTACCCGAAAATGACCAACCTTAATCCAGAACACTGATCACCAAAATGAAAACATTACAAAACTTTCTAATTTTCTAATCTTTTGCACCTTGTTTTAGCATGAATCTATACATTGTGACCTAGGCCAGTACTTTTATGAGATTACTGAAAAACTAATTAGTTATATAGAGCTATATGTACAGCCATCTGTGCTTTCAACACCAAAACTTAATTGAATAATGATAGAATTATAGATAGTGAGTAAATCATGGATAATAAATATCTCAGGCATGTGTTTATTTTCAATTAAAGGGGCAGTCTGTGTGTTAATTGCAATTAAAGTGGCAGTGTATGTCAATTAATGGGTATATTTTTCCTTAACAGTTGGAAATCGACAAAGAGCAGGCTTATACCACTGTCCTGACAAAATTTCCCTCATTGCACACTGCCTTGTGTTGTCTGTCTTCTTTAGTTGAGTCCAATGTAGAAAAAGAGTTGCCTTCTAACTAATTGTGCCACAAAAATTACAACATAGCACTAAGCCAACCTAGAGGATGGAAAGATTTAGACCACAGCTCTCAAAGAACACCAGTTACTTGGCAGCTTGGGTACCTCAGTCCTCAAACAGTTCCTGTGGAATCAATTATGCCACACCTTAAAAGAATCATGACATAGCAATAAGCCAACCTAGATGATGTAAAGATTTAAACCACAGCTCTCAAAGAGTTCCTGTGGAACTAATTATGCCACACCTTAAACTTATAAAAACCAGACCACAGAGGAAGAGTAATGTATAGAAATCCTACCAGGAATATAATGGCACAAGTCTGGCACCCAATTATCAGGCAGCCTTGAGATCACAATAGGTAAAGAGTAGACTAATTGGGAACATCCTGGAACATTCCTGCCAATTCTTCGAGACCAAGAAAGAAAGAAAGCATCATATTTTGCAAGGATAACAACTTAGGTTCACAAGGATCCTGTCTACCAGCTGGTCCTTGACCAAACCTCTTGGTATTGATCTTTCCCTGATTATCTGTACCCATTTACAGCTGGGTTGACTGGAATAATGAGGATCCTTTCTACCAGCTGGTCCTTGACCAAACCTCTTGGCATTGATCTTTCCCGGATTATCCGTACCCATTTACAGCTGGGTTGACTGGAATAATGAGGATCCTTTCTACCAGCTGGTCCTTGATCAAACCTCTTGGCATTGATCTTTCCTGGATCATCCGTACCAATTTACAGCTGGGTTGACTGGAATAATGAGGATCCTTTCTACCAGATGGTCCTTGACCAAACCCCTTGGCATTGATCTTTCCCAGATTATTCGTACCCATTTACAGCTGGGTCGACTGCAATAATTTAATTTTCATGGACACCAAAAACATAAAAACTCCATTTCATATCATTTTCTAGCCATGATTTCTTCCTTTAACTCAGTACACTAGTGTTTGTGTAGTAAAAACCAATATTTATATTTTATCTATAAACCTTCAATTAACTAGACCCCCCTCTGATACCTATTCATCACACCTAGTAGTTCGTCCCATTAACATGGCAGCCGTGCCAAATTCTAGTTCGCTTTTTTTTTCATTCATTTGAATCAGATGAGTACAGTTTCACGGTTCGTAAAATCTTCCCTGTGGTGGTTGCTAGATGTATCTTAGAACACAGAAATCTACATCTTTAACTTTTTATTGGTCTGGTTTGGTGAACCGCTTTTAGTGGTTTTTCAGAATCATTTGATAGGGATTCAGAGTATAATCTGGTTTCATGAACTGGTTTTGTGGTTTTTCAGAGTCTTGATCTTCGACTTGCGGAGTCAATGTGGTTGAGCAACTTGCAACTTTGTTTGTCAACCTAGCTTTCCTTTCAGAGAGTCCACATAGCTAGTAGCCTACCTTACCAGTCTTTTCATTGTAGGACTCAACGAGTCAACCTGGTCCCTTGAGGATTGACAAGCGTGGATATCAGTTTATGTAAAGATCAACATGCCACTCTGCAATTTGGTTTATCAACCAAGCATTCCACATAGCTAGTAGCCTACCAGTCTTTTCATTGTAGGACACAACGAGTCAACCTGGTCCCTTGAGGATTGACAAGCGTGGATATCAGTTTATGTAAAGATCAACTTACAATAGGAAAACTGATTCAGTATTTACAATAGATTATCGAGGAGACCGCTAAATTCTACACACATTATTTTGAATCAATAAGCTAATATCGATCAGGGCTGACTAGCAGAGAGCGTTCTCCTCGCACTTTATTTATGTGGTAATATGACACTTTGTTATCCAGACAGAAACGTCAATAAAAACACTGTAGACCATACGTACGAGATGTAGACTTGAACGTAAATATCTAGAGGACATTTTGATGTACACTTTATGCGTCTGCTTGAAAATTAACCGTTTGGTCTTTTTTCTTAAATGTACTTTTAGTCTTTTAAACAATTTGTACTCTTAAGATTTTTGGCAGCATTATTATGCCGCATTAAAGAGATTATAAAGAGGTTTTCTAAAATTTTTATGTGTATCAGGGACACTGATAGCATCAATTTACACCATTCCAATTTTCAATCACAACTGGTAAAAGCCACCAGATCAGAATCCCTGCTAATAAGTTATATTGATTTTAAGATATAATCCTATAATAATTTTTACATGTACAAATATGATTTGTGTCGATACTGCAATCTGAGCTAGAAATCGTTGTCTGTGCTATTGATTGTTGAAATGGGATCTTACTTTGGATTGGAGAAGTTAAATTAACAAGTTGGACTAGATTTCCTTTCACCATTAACTTAATAAGTTGAAATTGATACGCTGATATTAACTTGATAAGCTGGAATTAACTTAGAATTTGACTTAGATAGCTGAAATTAACTTGATAAGCTCGAATTAACTTAGAATTTGACTTAGATAGCTGAAATTAACTTGATAAGCTGGAATTAACTTAGAATTTGACTTAGATAGATGGAATTAACTTGATAAGCTGGAATTAACTTAGAATTTGACTTAGATAGATGGAATTAACTTGATAAGCTGGAATTAACTTAGAATTTGACTTAGATAGATGGAATTAACTTGATAAGCTCGAATTAACTTAGAATTTGACTTAGATAGCTGAAATTAACTTGATAAGCTGAAATTAACTTAGATAGCTGAAATGAACCTAGATGGTGGCTCAGTGAGTTAGATGCTTGCTCACTAACCTGAAGGTCCAGGCTTCAATCCCAGCATAGGTCAAGATAATACCTTCAGATTTTTCAACCCAGTTTCCCCCTGTCAGTGATACAGGTAAGAGGGACTGACATGGAAAAAGTGTCTAGTCATTCGGGTGAGATAAATCGAGGCCTTGTGTGTAACAGGCTGTACACGTTAATTGCTAGTGATAACACATAATTGTTTATAACACATCATTGTTAATATAATAACACATCATTGTTAATATGATAACACATCATTGTTAATATAACACATCATTGTTAATATAACACATCATTGTTAATATAACACATCATTGTTTTTTGATAACACATCATTGTTAATATAACACATCATTGTTTTTTGATAACACATAATTAGCCATTTAACAAAATAATCTAAAAAAGCCTTTCATTATTGGTCAGATTGGCAATACAGCCAAATGTGTTATCAGATTACACATAATTTCTTATCTGATAACACATAATTATTACTATGATAACACATAATTAGCCATTGAAAAAATAAGCTGGTATAAGTAAGAAAAATTGCTCTATTTAAGAGACATATTTCACTTAAAACCAAGCTTAAAATCATAACTTCATCTGATTGGTCACTTATTGTAATTAGATTTTAAGTCGATTTTTCAACCAATCGCATGACAGCATAAAACTGGATTTAATCTAAGTTAAGATTTGAAAATAAGGTTTAACTTAATTCAACCAAATTGATTCAGAATTTCACCAATTGCACCCTGCATGGTGTTGCATCTGTTTTTGACAAAATTGTAGGTCCAATTTTCTGGATAAAGAAGACTAAACTGTACTCTAAAATTGAAAACCTTACGATAACTGATAGACTTGGCATTTCTATTGGACAAGGCCACTCAAAATATCAGTTTTGGAAAGAATTGGACATCCAGTCTCTGAGTAAAAACCCTAGACTAAACTGTACTCTAAAATTGAAAACCTTACGATAACTGATAGACTTGGCATTTCTATTGGACAAGGCCACTCAAAATATCAGTTTTGGAAAGAATTGGACATCCAGTCTCTGAGTAAAAACCCTAGACTAAACTGTACTCTAAAATTGAAAACCTTATGATAACTGATAGACTTGGCATTTCTATTGGACAAGGCCACTCAAAATATCAGTTTTGGAAAGAATTGGACAGCCAGCCTCTGAGTAAAAACCCTAGACTAAACTGTACTCTAAAATTGAAAACCTTATGATAACTGATAGACTTGGCATTTCTATTGGACTAGGCCACTATAAATATATCTTGAAAGTTCATCGCTAAATTGCCAATAAAATTTCATGTTGAAAATCTTCGATTGGGGTTGGCCTAGACGTGTATTAAAAAATCAATCGTGATAAACATCAACTCGTTATTGGCTAAAAAAAATGGCGGGCTGGAGAACTATATTCTGACTATGGAGGGTTATATATGGAATCAGTAATGAGGTCACTTGTCAATACATTGGAAAGTTTTTCTAATTGATGAGAAAGTGATGTAGTGATACGATTCCGAGCGTAAAATGAAATTGATTTGTGGGATTTAACCCTGCTCTAGTTTTAAAATTGATTTGGCTTTCGAGTCCATTTTTTTTTTAATCAGCAAGCCGATTTTTTTGTGTGTTGACGTGTTGTGGAAGGTTTGAATAAGCTGAAAAGAATTTGCTAAAAGGAGTAATTTTTTTTTTTAAGCAGACGTCAATGCCAAATATAGAAGTGTCGCAACAATTTGTCCAGTTCTTACAAAAAATAAAAATGA